ATCTTATAACAGATTCAAAAGTCAAAAGCCAGCTCCACGTGGAAGACATCTCTGAGAAGTACTAATTTCTTAAGTGTTCTAAATATTAGCGATAAAGATACTTACCATAGGCAATTTATAAGCATCAACCCAAGAATTAAACTAAAAAAATAGAAAATCAAAACACACTTAAGCAAGATACAATCCCAGACTTCCTGCTCTTCAAAGGCAAACCCAGAAGGCAGTAAGATGGAACAATTTGATAGCCACTCACCTGAACTCTGAAGTTGTGACAGCAGAATTAATGAAGCACATGAGTGAGGTTCTAGAAAAAAATCAGATCAGAAATAATTTCTCGAGATAGCTACAGAGACAGTGAATATAATGAAAGACATGCTGAGTAACTTTAGAACAGATACAGATTTTAAAAAGAGCTTAAAAAAAGGATAAAACTATGAATGCCCAACATAAAGTAATGGAATCTATGAAACAGTCAAAAAAGATATCCAGGTGATTAAAAATTCAAAGTATATGCAGCAGAATGAGGACAGAATTTCAGATATAGAAGACAGGCTTGTGGTTAATGATCATGAAAAGAAAGATTAAAATAGCAAGGGGCCATGAGAAATCATAGCAGCTGCTAGATAATGGAAAGAATAAGATTGATTAGAGTTAATGAAAATGCAGGAGATAGTGCAAACAACACACACACACAAAAAAAACCTGTGCAGAGAAGTCATGGCAGAAAACTTGCCAAACAGGAATAAAGAATCTGAGATACGGAGGGCAGGGGGTTTAACTCAGCTGCGTAAGCCCTTGCCTGGCAAGCACAAGGTCATGAGTTTTATCCCTGGTACAAAAAAAAAAAAAAAAAAAAAAAAAAAAAAAAAAAAGGATGAAATCAAAACAGATCCTGTGGAAATGAAGAATTTTACATACAGATAATTGAGGTGTATAGAATTCCTGTTAGACATGATCAAAAAACTGTACCAAGGGATATAATAGTCCAGATTCCTGAAATTCAACACAGTAAAACAAAGGATAACTTAGAGAAGAAACAGATCACCTATAAAGGTGACCTATTGGAATCATAACAGACTCTCCATACAAATCTTCAAGTCAAGAAGAGTTTGGAGTGAATAATATCAAGGCTTAAAAGAAAACAGCATACAACCCAGATTGATGTAGTCCACAAAACTTATCTTTCAAACTTGATGTAAAAATTAGATACTTCTATAACAAGAAACACCTAAGGAAATTCATGATCAACAAACCAGCACTCCAAAAAGTCTGGAAGAATATTATAGAAACAGATAATAAGAATTACAACTCCATGAACCCCAACAGAGTGAATCCACTAGGCAAGGCAAGCAAATTAAACTGAGGGGGTAAAGAAAGGCAGCAAAGGTAAATAACATGACAAGGATAATTCAGTACATATCATCAATGTTAATTATTTCATCTACCACTCAAAACAGACTGGCAGAATGGATGGAGAAGAAACAGTATGTTGCATACAAGAAACATATGCAACAGGAACCCAAGATAATCAGGGCAGCTATTCCATTTTGCAGACAAAGTAGATTTCAAGCACAGACTGAGTCACTACATCCTTGAAAAGGGAACAATTCAAGAGGAAGAGATAACAATTATAAATTTATGTGCACCCAATTATGTAAAATATTAATGGACATGAAAAGTCATGCACTAATACAATGGTAATAGGGGACCTCTCAGCCCCACTGTCACAGATAGGTCAACTAGACAAAAACTCAATGAAATATTAGACCTGAACCAAACTTTTGAACAAATGGACTTGTAGATGTCTGCAGTGTATTTCAACCCACAACATCAGAATACACATTCTGAGCTGCATATGGGATGTTCTCCAAAATAGACTACACACTAGCTCATAGAAAAAGCTTAAGTAAATGCAAAGGAATTGAAATTATCCCATGCATATTACCAAATCATAATGCAGTGAAGTTGGAAATCAGTTGCAAAAGAAACAGAACTTCATAAGCACATGGAAATTAAATAATGCCCTGCTGAACAACCACTGGGCCACAGATGAAATTAAAGACAAAATGAGAGCGTTTCTACAATTAAACAATAAGGCTGATACAGTGTACTGGAACTCATGGGACACAAAGCAGTCTGATGAAGGAAATTTACAGCAGTGAATACCCAGATCAGGGAAAAAAAAGCAAGCTCAAATAAAAAACCTGATGTTGAACCTCAGGCTTCTAAAAAAAAAAGAAGAGAAAGTGAAGCCCAAAACTCAAGGGCTTATAATTTCAAGAAGAAATTTTAAAGATCAGAGCAGAAATTAATGGATGGAGATTAGTAAAACAGTACAGAGGATCAATGAATGAGAGAATAGGTTCTTTGAAAGATTAAATAAAATTGACAAGTCCTTAGTCAACCTTATCAAGAAAAGGAAAGATTCAAATCCATGCAATTAGGAATGAAAAGCATGAAATTGCAACAGATCCTGCAGAAATCCAGAAGATCATCTATACTTCCTTTGAGAAGCTATATTCAAGTAAGATGGGAAACAGAGAAATGGACAGATACCTAGATACATATGAATTACCAAAGCTAAATAAAGAAAATGTAAACATTCTAAATAAAGCAATATGAGTAAGTTAAATCGAAGATGTAATTAAAAACCCATCAACAAAGAAAAGCCCAGGCCCTGACAGACTCACTGATGAAGTCTGCAAGAAATTTAGAGAAGACCTAATACTCCTACTTCTCAAACTCTTTAATGAAATTGAAAGGGAAGTGATACTCTCAAATTCATTCCTGGATGCAAGCATTATCCTGATATTAAAACCAAAGAATGATCCAGCCAAAAAAGAGACCTACAGGCCAATCTCCCCAGTGAACATAGATGCAAAAATTCTTAATAATCTACTGGCAAACATAATGCAGCAAGTCATCAAGATTGTACATCATGACCAAGTAGGATTCATCCCAGGGATGCAGGATGGTTCAACATGCATAAATCAATAAAGGTGATACACCATATTAACAGAACCAAGGACAAAAACTACGTGACCATCTCAGTAGATGCAGAAAAGGCATTTGACAAAGTCCAACACTCATTCATGATAAAAAACTACAGAAAATTGGAATAGATGGTCTTTATCTCAATCTGATAAAAATCATCTATGACAAACACATCATACTAAACAGACAAAAACTGAAAGCTTTCACTGTAAACTCAGGAACAGGACAGGCATGTCCCCCTTCACCGCTGTTACTCAGTATAGTTCTAGAAACATTAGCTAGGGTGATAAAATAAAAAAATAAAAGCAATAAGGATAAGAAAAGAAGTTAAATTACCATTACTCAGGATGACATGATACACTACGTAGAAGACCCCCAAAACTGCCAAAAGACTTGTAGCCTAAATAACAAGATTCAGTAGTGTAACTGGATACAAAGTCAACACATGTTAGTTCCTATCTCTGAGACCACAAAATTCTGTGAAACACACCCAATTGACACTTCATACAGATTTTTTAACAAGGACAGTTGTTACGGATATGCATTTATACATTGAAAGGATGTCTCTCTTAGATGTTACCACTCTACGCAGAAAGTTTTAGAATAAGAGAAGGTCTGAGTTGACCCTAGTTAACTTCATTTCAGAGAGTACTAAATAGCTGTGATGCACACAATCCAGGGAAGAGACCATAGCTGCCAGAAGTGAAGCAGAACTGTAGAGTTTAATTCCATGTGGAAGTAACCAGTGTGCCCAAGATTCAAAACCATCAGCAGTAGCGAATAAAAAGGGTAGGGATGAAACTCAGGAGTGGGGCTCTTGCTGCGTGGAAGATCTCCTAGGTTCAAGCTTTATATTGCAGAAATACACCTAAGAAACTAAAGACCTATCAAGCAGGATTTGGAAGATTTCATATGTATCTCGAAAATGCTGTGGGGTACAGGGAATATCTGAGACTTTTCATAAACCCCTGCCCTGGGTCCTGGCCCCTAGTTTGAAATTTGGGGAACATAATTGAGGCCTCTCAGATGTTCCTCTAGTCGTGGACCCAGGAGAGGGGCTAGGCTTTTCTCAAGGGTCTGGGGAAGTCCCTAAACTCCCCTGGGGCAGGATTCCAGGGTCAGAGGTACCATAGCCTTAAGTACAGTTGCACTGTAGCTTTAAACAGTGCTGCCTTTCAGTATGGTGTGTTTGTAGTTCTCAGCTTCTCCCTGCACCTGGGATTCAATATTGTGCTGAAGAACCTTTCTGTAAATTACTCATATTAAAACCTCTTATGAAGCTATGTGGGGAAAAAGTGCAAATTAGTTGTACTACTTAATGTCTCTTAGATTGTTGGAAAGGAAGGGTCATGCTAATTTGATTGGGGAATTTTTTATGCCCATATTTTATACTCTGAGTAACTACTTTAAAGATGACAATATGCAGTGTATTAACTATTGTTATTCTCCTATTATTTTGTTATGAATTTCTTTTCATTAAAAAACTGAAGTAAGTAGGTTTGGAGTAGTATTTCTAGAAAAGTGTTTAACCCATAGACTTTAGTGTTTAAGTGTCTTCTCTATGTGTGCACACTGGGGAGAGCTCTGGTTATCAGTGTCATGTCTATACATGACTGCATTGAGCCCTGGCGGGATGGGGTGAGTTCTCCATACTAATGTAAAGAGCTGTGCACTGATTCAAACCCTGTCACTCAGGGTAAAACTGCCTGCCACCCAAAGCCCTCCTGCAGAAATTGTGGCATCATCATGGAGTCTATGGAGCTCCAGTCTGACAAAGAGGAATGAATTATGAAACGTGGAACCCCTTACTGAGTTCAAAGCAAATAGCAACCCTGTGGAATAAATTGCCTTCATGTGTGTCCTCCTGACTCCACCTAACTGGTCCTGATTTTGGAGATCAGTTGTTTTGGATATGGCATGGTCAGAGGAAGACAGTCTCTGTGAGGTTTCAGCATGGAGGAGAAAGAGCTCCAGTTGCCAGGGAAGGACCAGTACTTCTGAGAACCCCAAGGCCCAGTCTTGACTTCCATGGGAAGCTCTACCCCACCTTCCCCAACCTACTGGACATCCAAAACCATCCACCCAATGCAGTTGCACATGTGTTGCTGTGGGGGAAGCAGCCCATGAAAGGTCACTGTCACTTTCTAAGGGAAAAGAAGTCACTGCTGGGCAAGCCTTAATAAAGGTTTCCTAAACTATGATGTCATAAAGGGCAGGCATGGTGTGCACAGTTACCGAGGCACTTGCCACCCAGGCAGCTGCCAGAAAGGTTCTAGCAGACCTAGCATATTGGCTCAGATCTCTGCAGCCGAACTTCACCCTTTCATGTTTCTGCTGCACTTCTGGGCTGCAGGGGTGCTGGTGTGGCCACACTTGTGGCTGTGGGTCCCAGCTGCTCCACAGCCAGGCTGGGCCTCATACCCAGGGCCTCAGCTTGCAAAATCTAAGCTTCAGAAGCAGACCGCGCAGGATGACTATGTTAACCTGATATCAGATGCAGCTGACCACGACAGCCTTGATCTAGAATCCCAGAACCCAGATGAGCCTCCAGAGCCCCCTGGGCAAACTGCACCTTCTCAGTTCCAGCAGGAGGCCCAGACTCCCCAGGTTGAATCCCCTTCACCTGAGCAAGAAGTCGAAGGTCCACTCTCACAGCCCCCCAAGGATGCAGAAGCGTCTTCCACCCAACAGGAGGCCCAGGCTCAGGGGGAACTTGCTGCTGAGGACTGTGAAGATCAGCTGCTGATGCCCCAGGAGGGGAAAGCTCCAACTCCATGCAGGAGTGAAGCTCCTCACTCACACTCAGCATTTGTCACAGTTAATGTGGTGATGGAGGTTACAGTAACTGACCAGGCAAGGAAGGAGGCTCAATCTAGTCTAAGCCATCAGGGAGCCACAGCTTTGCCTGCAGAGAGTGCTGAGGAGGTGAAACCTACTCTAAGCCAGAAGCAGGCCCTAGTCTCATCTGTAGACAGTCCTGAGGAGATAGAATCTTCTGCAAGCCATCAGGGGGCCCCAGCTTCGCCTGCAGAGAGTGCTGAGGAGATAGAACCTACTCCAAGCCAGCAGGGGGCCCTAGACTCACCTGCAGAGAGTCCTGAGGAGATGGAACCTTCTGCAAGCCATCAGGGGGCCCCAGCTTTACCTGCAGAGAGTCCTGAGGAGATGGAACCTACTCCAAGCCATCAGGGGGCCTCAGCCTCACCTGCAGAGAGTCCTGAGGAGATGGAACCTACTCCAAGCCAACAGCAGGCCCTAGTCTCACCTGCAGACAGTCCTGAGGAGATGGAATCTTCTCCTGCCCAGCAGGCCCTGTCTCAGCCTCCCAGCTCTCTTGGAGAGATTGAAGCTTCTCCTCATGGTCAGGAACAGCCAACTCAACGTTTTGAGGCTCCTGAGGAGGTGGAAACTTTGGGAAGCCAGCTGGAACCTCTAGTCCAGGAAGATGATACTGGAGCTCCAGAGGCCCCTTTGGATAGTATAGGTGAGGTTCCTCTACTTCATGAAGTGACAGCCCAGCCTCCAGGTCAGGATCCAGCTCCTGATCATAATTTGTCCAACGTGACAGTTCAGCCAATGGATCTAACATTTGAGCCCACCGAGGAGGTAGATTCTTCTCCCGCCCAGCAAGAGGCCCCATATCAGCCTCTAGACTCACCTATAATGGCTGACTCTTCTCCCCATCAGCAGGAGCAGCCAACTCAATCTTCAGAGGCTGACAAGGAGGCAGAATCTTCTGGAAGCCAGTTGGAAGCCCCACCTCAAATTGAAGATTCCCCAGTAGAAGTTAAACTTCCAGTCCAGGAAGATGATGGAGACTCAGAGGCCCTTCAGGAGAGTACAGGTGAAATTCCCCTACTTCAGGAGGTGACACTGCGACCTCCAGATCAGGAGCTAGCCCCTGACCATAACCTATATAATGTGACAGTTAGGCCGGGGGATGTGGAACTTATGACTTCAGAGCCTTCCTGGGAGGCTGACCCTTCTTTGGCCCAGCAGGAGACCGTGTCTCATCCTTTTGGTTTTCCTGCAGAGGTGGAACCTCCCCATGAGCAGGAGCAGCTGGCTCAATTGTCCCAGGCTGCTGAGGAGGCTGGATCTTCCAGAGACCAGCTGGGAACTCCAGCTCAGCCTGCTGGGTTTCCTGAGGAAGACACACCTCCAGTCCAGGAGGATGCTACAGCTTCAGTGGCCCTTCTGGAGACTCTAAATGAGAATCTGTCACACCAGGAAGTAACAATTTCAACTCCACAACACTATTCACACTCACCCAAGACAACAGTGACATCTCCATACCTACAGTTCACTGTAACACCAGAATCCACTGCGGAGGTGCCAGCTCCCCTCACCCGTCATGAGACTACAGCACAATACGCAGTTCCACCGGCCGACACGGACTCTCCTGTGATCCTGATGGAGGCCCCAACTCTGTCCCCAGAGCCCTCTGAAGAGCTTGAAGCCTTCCAGCAGGGGATTCCAGTTGCACCTTCAGGATCTCTTGAGGATGAACAAGCCTCTCCCAGCCAGCAGGAGACCTCAGAAGGGCATCTCCAGGCTCCTGAGCAGGGTGGACCTTCCTCAGCCCTGCAGGAGGGCACAGATGCACATCTACAAACTCCTGAAGAGCTGGCTCCTCCAGAGCTCCCTCTCGAAGTTGCGGCTCAGCTTCCAGAACCTTATGAGGCAACCGTTTCTCCTCTAGTTAATGACCAAGTGCAGCCTCCGGTCTTGCACAGAGTCACTGTAGAGCCTCCAGAGGTAACTAACGAGGTTGAAATTGAAAGCTCGACAGGACAGGAGGCCACAGCTCAGTCCTCAGTGACCCCTGAGCTGTTTGGAACTTTCACTGCCAAGGAAGAGGGTCTAACTGAGCAGGCTGACTCTGCCGTGGAGGAGACACCTCCATCCTATAGCATGGAGTCAAGTCAGCCCACAGAGTTTCCTGAGGACTTGGCTCTGTCCCCAAACACCGATGCAGGATTTGCACTGGAAGCAGTTGAGCACCAGCTCTCAGCTCAGCCTTGGACACCCTCTGTGAGTGCTGTCACTTTTAAGTTCACAGGAAGGGTAACGTTTGCAGGCCAGCCTCCAATATCACCCGAGGACACAGAGCCATTCCCTACTCCCCTGGAGCCTGCGGCCTCACCTTCGGAGCCGTCTAACGTGATGGAAACTTCTCCAGCTCAGCAAGTGGTTCCACCTGAGCCCGAAGAATTCCCAGAGGTGGAGAGCCCTCTGCCAGTGCTGCTGCCAACCCCGTCCCCCCCTGCGGAGCCTCCTGAGGAGGTGGAACTTTCTGCAACCCCAATGCTGGGCCCATCTCAACCACAGCAGCCCCCCAGTGAAAGTGTGCTGCCACCACTGTCCAGTGTCACGTCTCAACCTCCAGACCTGGATATTGCCGTCACTATAGAACCCACCACGGAGGGGAAACTTACATTTCTTTCTCCAGGGTTCCCTGAGGTGATGCTTCCCAACCAAAACCAGACTCTGAGCACAACTGGACTTCCAGCCCCAGAGCTTACCATGACTCCACCATCAACTGCAGAATTGAGAGCTTCTCCAACTGTGCAGCAGGCCTCCTCTCAGTCCCCAACCCCAGCCAAGGAGGCTGCCACTCAGACTCCAGCACCTGGCGAGGTCAGAGTTCAAACACCAGGTCAAAGTCCTACTCAGGGTCCAGCATCAGCTAGGATAACGGGCCAGCCTGTGGACCAGGAGCTGACCACAGCTCCAGTGTCCACCTCAGAAGCCATACACAGTATCACCCTACAGAAACCTATAGTTCCACCAGCAACGTACCCTGGGGTGACGCTTCCGCCTCCAGGCCCTGTTCCGGCTCAGAATCCAAACTTGACTCTGGCTACAGTCAGACCTTTGGACCTGGAACTTGACAGCACTGCACAATCTACTACAAAAGCTAGCCCTTCTCCCACTGTCCTGGAGACCCCCTCTCTGTCTTCAGAAGCCCATAGGGAAACTGTGACTCAGACTCCGGAGCCACCAGAAACCCCTAATGAGACCTTGACTCAGGCTCCAGGACTGCCAGAAACCCCTAATGAGACCTTGACTCGGGCTACAGGACTGCCAGAAACCCCTAATGAGACCTTGACTCGGGCTCCAGGACCGCCAGAAACCCCCAGTGAGACCTTGACTCGGGCTCCAGGACCGCCAGAAACCCCCAGTGAGACCTTGACTCGGGCTCCAGGACCGCCAGAAACCCCCAATGAGACCTTGACTCGGGCTCCAGGACTGCCAGAAACCCCCAGTGAGACCTTGACTCGGGCTCCAGGACTGCCAGAAACCCCCAGTGAGACCTTGACTCGGGCTCCAGGGCCGCCAGAAACCCCCAGTGAGACCTTGACTCGGGTTCCAGGGCCGCCAGAAACCCCTATGGAGACCTTGACTCGGGCTCCAGGGCCGCCAGAAACCCCTATGGAGACCATGACTCTGACTCCAGGGCCGCCAGAAACCCCTATGGAGACCATGACTCTGACTCCAGGGCCACCAGAAGCCCCTAGTGAGATCTTGACTCGGGCTCCAGGGCTGCCAGAAACCCCTAGTGAGATCTTGAGTCAGACTCTAGGGCCGCCAGAAACCCCTAGGGAGACCATCACTTGGGCTCCAGGGTCGACAGAAACCCCTAGGGAGACCATCACTCGGGCTCCAGGGTCGACAGAAACCCCTAGGGAGACCATCACTCGGGCTCCAGGGCCACCAGAAACCCCTAAGGAGACCATCACTCGAGTTCAAGAGCAGCCAGAAACCCCTAGGGAGACCATCACTCGAGCTCAAGAGCAGCCAGAAACCCCTAGGGAGACCATCACTCGGGCTCCAGGGTCGACAGAAATCCCTAGGGAGACCATCACTCAGGCTCCAGGGCCACCAGAAACCCCTAAGGAGACCATCACTCGAGCTCAAGAGCAGCCAGAAACCCCTAGGGAGACCATCACTCAGGCTCCAGGGCTGCAAGAAACCCCTAGGGAGACCATCACTTGGGCTCCAGGGTCGACAGAAACCCCTAGGGAGACCATCACTCGAGCTCAAGAGCAGCCAGAAACCCCTAGGGAGACCATCACTCGGGCTCCAGGGCCACCAGAAACCCCTAAGGAGACCATCACTCGAGCTCAAGAGCAGCCAGAAACCCCTAGGGAGACCATCACTCGGGCTCCAGGGTCAACAGAAACCCCTAGGGAGACCATCACTCGGGCTCCAGGGCTGCAAGAAACCCCTAGGGAGACCATGCCTCGGGTTCCAGGGCTACCAGAAACCCCTAGAGAGACTATGACTCAGGCTCCAGGGCCGCCAGAAATGCCTATGGAGACCATGACTCAGACTCCAGGACTGCCAGAAACCCCTAGGGAGACCATGCCTCAGGCTCCAGGGCCACCAGAGACCCCCATGGAGACTGTGACTCGTGCTCCAAGGCCTCCAGAAACCCCTAGGGGGACCGTGACTCAGTCTCCAAGGCCACCAGAAACCCCTAGGGAGACCGTGACTCAGGCTCCAAGGCCACAAGAGACTCCTACAGGGACTGTGACTCAGGCTCCAAGGCCACCAGAAGCCCCTATGGAGACCGTGACACTGACTCCAACGCCGCCAGAAACCCCTAGTGGGACCGTGACTCAGTCTCCAAGGCTGCCAGAAGCCTCTGGGGGGACCATGACTCAGGCTCCAAGGCTGGCAGAAGCCCCTAGGGAGACTGTGATTCAGGCTTTAAGGCCAACAGAAGCCCCTACGGAGACTGTGACTCAGTCTCCAGAGCCACCAGAGATGAGCATTCCAGCTCTTCCTGGCCAGCGGCCTGCTCCGCATCCCCCATCACCCGGTGTCACACTGTCAGGCATGGGTAACACCCCTACTGCCAAGGCCACATACTTCATAACCCTGCAAAACCCTCCTGCAGTGCATCTTGGGGTGACATTTCTGCCCCCAGCCCCGGTTGTGACTGGGCATTGGCATCGGCATCAAAGACCGACTGGAGTTGCCACTCCACGTGTGGTGGTGAAGCCTCTACCTTTGCGGAAGGGAAAGAGTTCATTGAGGCGCACCAATGTCTGTAAGCTCTGCTCCTGCAAGAGGGAGACCCTGTCATGCACAGGCCTCAGCCCAGCAAAGAGGCTGCAGCAAATCCCTGCCCTCGAGCTCAAGACCTACAACAGCGTCTTCATCGTCGTGTAAGATCCCCGTGCTCCGCGGTGGCCCCGTTGTGCCTGCCATGGGTGGCCACCTTCCCTCTAGGTCTCCCTGGGCCATCCTCACCCCCAGCCACGAGGATGGATCCTTAGCCACATTCTTTATCCTGGCCTTCTTTCTCTTGTGCTCCATTTCCAGGTTTTTTTTTCCATGCCCATTTGGATTTAGCCCCACCAGTGTTCTCCCACTTTTCTCCACACGCCTTGCCACTGTTCCCATTGCTGATGACAACTTGGTGGGGAAGAGTAGATCACAGGCTTGGGCCTCACCCAGAGGGAGGCCCCGGGTTCCATCCGCAGCCCAAAGGAAGAGAGGAGGAGGAGGAGGAGGAGAAGACTGGGGAACCAGGCACCTGGGTTTGAACCCAGTGGTTTGTCTGTTTATTTTGTGGCATTGAGCAGATACTGGCTTCTGTAACTCAGTTTCCTCATCTATAAAGTGGGAATTGTGATAGTTGCCATTTTCTAGGCTGGCAAAACTTTGAGTGGAAAAGGGAACAGATGGCACCCTTCCACCACAGCTTGACGTTCACCTTCACACGAGTCCAGGGCTGTGTCCATATGGCATCCATTCTGGTGCACGGCCAAGGGCTAAGTTCAGTGGGAGCCGTAGAAGGCTGACTCTGCCTCCTGAACCATGAAGCTTATGGATGGGAAGGAAAGGGGACAGGGTGGCACACCTGTAAGCCCAGCACTCTGGGAGGCTGAGACGGGATGATTACAGTTTTAGGGTCAGCCTGGGAAACTTAATGACTTAGTGAGACTGTCACAAACAAGAAATAAAATGGAAAAAATTCTTTTAATGTGGAGGTGGTAGGGGAGCGCGTATGTAAGTGCGTGCTAAAGAGGACATAGGCTGCAGTGCCATCCTTGTTCAGAATTAAGTCATGAGGTGATTGTGAGGAAAAGCGGCCAGGTCCTGAGGAGTGGCAGTGCACTGCAAGTGTGTGGCTGGCATTCCTCACACCGGAGCATGGACAGAGGAGATGCTGGGAGGAACAATGGAGAGGCCTCCCCACTGCACCAGCTGGACCCATGTGCTTGCCCACATGGACTGGGCAGCCGATAGCACAGGGCAGCACAAAGCCAGTGTTTCCTTCCTGTATGTAAATGTCCCCCACCAGTAACCACAACTCTTTTACATATTCTGTTTATTTTTATTGCTTACAGAAATTTCCAAGGAAATGCTATTTCTTACCTTAATAAGACTATTTGGACAACATACCGGTGGACCGAGAAACTGTGAGTATAGGAATTGAGAAATTTGCCTTGTAGCAAGCTTCTCGGTCCAGAATCTTGATGTCGATACCTGTGAAAACAAGTTTTCCTCCTCTGTATTCCAAAGCAACCTCTGTGGTTTGAAATTCTGATTATTGTAAAAAGGAAATTTCAGGTGTGCTCATTGGTAGCACACGTTTCTGGCATGACTCAGGTTCTGGGTTCCATACCCAGCATTGCGGCAAAAAATAAATAAATCGTGTGGAATCTGCTTGAAATAAGAAGCAATTTATGTTTATCATCAGTTATACAAATAAGCATGATTGCATTCTTAATGGGTAACAGTGAGATACAGTAAAGTGAAATCCCCTGTGTTCCCTAACTCCCCATCCCGAGGTAAACTCTGCTGAGTTGGGTACACATCTTTTCAGACTGTCCCCAAGTGTTTGCCTATGTACAAGTTTACATATAGAAGCCCAGGTGTGTCCAGATCTTTTATCTTTCTACCCAAAGGGTGGCATCCCACAACTTGAGTCTTTTCCTTAGATATGTCAGGGTTCTTACCTTTCCCATGTGTAGAGGGTCACCCGATACATTTGCACTCCTGCATAATATTCCACAGGACGTATCCATCATGGCAGAGTTAATAATTCCCCTATGAGCAATATTCAGAACATGTCCAGTTTTCACATTTACGTGTGTAGATGCCGTGAGCATCCCTGTGTGTGCCTCTCTGTGAACCTTGGTAGGTCATTCTTCAGAACAGAAACGCAGAAATGGGACTGTTGTGGTGATCACTGTTGTAGATATGAAACTTTAATCCCCAAACAATAGTTTGCCAGTTTACACTCCAGATGCCAGAGTATGACAGTATTCATGTTCTCTTAACTACTATACATTTTCTGCCTTTTTCCCAAAATTTGATCCAGAAATAACTTTTTCATCTTCCAGAAACCTCAGTGAAAATTCCCTGACTGAATTACGAAAAGATTCATTTGAAGGCCTGGTGTCCCTCCGGTATTTGTAAGTTAGCTGGTTCATCATAGGTATTAATGAGTTGTTGATGAGTTATCCATGAAATGAGCAGGAAGCTTAAGTCAGATCGTCTCTATATTCTCCTCAAGCAGTAAAATTACAGTTGTGTGATTCTGTGCAGATCTCAGCATACCTTGAGCGCCAAATACCGCCTGCTCATTTTCAATTTTTAAACTTTATCAAGCAGATTCAAATGGGAAAGACACTGCGTGCAGAGGAGGAATGGCAGCAGAAACTGGGTGCTCGCTGATGCCCTGTTTGCTAAGTGCTCTCCTGCCACCTGTGTGTCCACATTTAGTCTGTGGATCAAACCACATCTATGGCCTGTTTTTATCTAGGCCATAAGTTAAGAATGGTGTTAAATCTTTAAAATGCTGTGAATGAAAAAGGCCACTGTATTTAGCCTGAAGAGCAGGAAATATTTACTATCTGGCATTTACAAGAAAGTTAGGTTAGTGCCTGGGGGGATTTAGCTCAGTGGCATAAGTGCCTGCTTGGCAAGTGTGAGGTCGTGAATTTGATCCCCAATACCAAAAAAGAAAAAAAAAAGTTGGGTTATAGAACAAATAGTGCCAACTTCAGGAAAACAAAATGTCAACTATTCAAATTTATATTTCAGTGCTACCAAGCCAGAAAGTTTTGATCATTTAACCTGAATTACACCAACACTTAAATGCTACATAATTAACTAGGTAGATAAATTACATAAATAATATTATCAAGGTGATTAAGCTACCAGAAGAAAAGCATTTCAGGGTAGGAATTGTGCATACGCATGTTTAAAATAAGTATCAGAAAGGCTAAGTAGTTTAGCTAAACATGTATGTACCCAGAAAGCATGTCATAACTCTTAACTTTTTACCAGTTACAAAACAAACTTCTCTCCTACCTGTTGCCAAGGAGAAAATAGTTGCATGGTATTTCTGTTAGTTTAGAAATAAGATGTCAGCCAGTGATAGTGGCACACATCTGTAATCCCAGCGCTCAGGAGGCCGAGGCAGGAGGATCTTTGCAAATTCCAGACCAGCCTGGGCTACAAAGTGATTTCAAGGCCAGCCTGAACTGCATACTGAGACCCTGCCTCAAAAAAGAAAAAAAAAAAAGGCAATGAGAAGACATCGTGTTCTTTGGGGTGAAAATTTGATTTATATGCTTTGTCCATGGGATCCAGGCCTGTGAATGTTGTTCACAGAACATTAAGGCAATATGAAGCCAAAAATGAATTTCCATTCCTATGATAGGAAGTAAAATTCTGAGTTAGTTCAGAACTGTGTATGAATTAGAAGAGTACCTGCCTTTTAAGTGACATGAAAGGTTCTCTCTTATTCCCATTGGTACTGAACTGGCTTATCAAAACAGAGTGCAACCAGGAAGCTATGGAAATATGAGAATATGCCTTTGTTACCAGAAATTGCATACAGAGATTAAAACTTTGAATGCATGATCTTGGATTTGATGAAACTGATACATTTTATATCTGTATATAAAAGCCTGATATATGGGGGCTGGGCCTCTTGGAGGTGGCTTGTTTAGCACTTGCATTGGTAGTATGAACGCTGTACCTGCCCAAGGCAGGGAGATGGCATCAATGTAAGGTGGGGGAGGGGGGGTGCTCTTCCCCCTTTACCCTTTTGTTCTTGTGGCTTTTGGAGTCTGCTGCAGCTGCCATGGACTGCTGCCCCTCAGCCCCGCAGTCCCTGCGTTAGAGCCAGCTGAGTATTGACTGAAACCTCCACAAACTGAGCTAAAATAAACCTTTCCTTCATTTTGGGTGTCAGGTGTTTTTGTCTCAGCAACCGGAGAAAAGTAACCAAGACAAGACTATACAAAGTGACTTAAACATTCTCCTACTGTCAGGAAATATTACTTCCAAGTTGGATCTAGTACTACAGTTGTGGATTTTGTTTATAGAGATAATGAAGGAAAGACTCTAGGAGAAATGCTAACCTAGGGCCTCCAGAAAGCTTGACTATGGGTGGGAAGATTGAGTTTAAAGAAAAATTGTGTTCAATAGTATAAACTCAGAAGTCTGTTTATCATGTTAATTAGGTATCTTCCAGCTAATTGAGGAAATCTTTTTCTTTTTCCTAGAGATTTATCCTGCAATAAGATACAGTCAATTGAAAGAGGAACATTTGAATCAATGTCTTTTTTGCAGTTCATGTAAGTTCCAAATAGAAATTCATATTTTGAATATTACACACACTTCACCTACCTACATTGGAACATGGTTAAAATTTTACTGGTAGAATATTACTAAATTATATACGGACTTTTAAATTCCTGGCTAAGCTTTGCAAGGGTCATTGCCAGGTCAGAGTTAGTGGTGGCAGTGGGCTCCTGGGAGGTGTGATTTTGCAGCCAGGTGACACTGGGTGAGAGGATGTGCTGTGGGTGCCTGCTGGGCAGAGGCTGCTGAACCTGCAGTGCTGGAGATGCTTCCAAGGCAGAGACGCAGCCAGCCCCAGAGGCAGAGCGGTGATGCTGCGAAGCCCTGCTCCAGAGCAAGAAAGGGTGCGCAGCACAAGGACTGGAGGAGCATTCACTGTGCTGCACCTAACGCAGCATGCGTGTAGATACCCACGCATCAGTCCTAAGCTGGCCCAGGCCACAGTGAAATGGCTTCAGTGCATGTGCAGGAAGCAGTGAGGTAATGTTTCGTTATATATGAGTCAGAATCACTGCCTAACGATAAAAGTTCAGAACAGATTCCTCACCCTTCTCACCCTTCTTTTCTCCCTTTCTCCCTTCATTGGGCTTATGTCTTTTTTTTTTTTCACTTTTTTTTTTTAGAAATCTCCGTTGCAATTTACTTACAGAACTGGGCTTTGGAACATTTGAGGCATGGCACAGAATGCAGTTTTTACAACAAGTGTAAGTGACATGAAAGATAAACACGTGTCAAATCACAAACAGTATTTGTGTGTTAAAAGTCCCATCCAGTTCTTGGCTGAGCCCCATGGTCCAGCTCTGCCACCGTGTTTGCAGATTCCACTCCCCTGACAGCGCACGCTCCCTGAGCGTTTGGAGGCCGCAGGGTTTGCAGGTGGCGATCCCCCAACCTGGTTGGATGCACTCAGGCTGAGCAGCTGCGGAGTGCCTGCCTGAGTCAAGGGTAGAAGCACTGAAGAGGAGTAGGGGGAGCCCAGCTTTCTCCCTCGAGCAGAAGCTCAAGGCCTGCGTGGCCGGAGTGTAGAAGCTAGTGAGCTGCCTCCCAGACACCTGCTCCTATCAGGCCCTCGCCACAGTTTCCCGGGGGTTCTGCAGCTGCTCAAGCTCCCCCACGTGGGCCAGGCATCGCTGTGTGGTCTGTCCTGGTGTCCTGGCAGCATCTTCTCAGATCCAGAGGCACACACACCACAGATGCAGACAGCACCTCAGTTTTGTCCTTTGGGCTGACCTAGGTGGGCTGTCGCATTTTATAATGGTTCAAAAGTTTTAGGGTGCCACTCCCAGCGTTTATCCTGCCATCCTTCTCCCAACTGCGTCTCATTCCCTGCCTCAGGACAGCAAGTCATCACCTTTGCTCGTGGAGGCTGAGGGCTTCCTCCTCAGCCCATTGCATTTCTGTGACTCCTCCAGTCATGAGGCGTTTCTGGTGCCCCAGGTACTACACGTTCCATGTGTGTACGAGTCCGATAATGGCCTGGGAGTTCTTGTGCTTGCATGTGGGAAATGCTCAATGCATGTTACTTTCTTTTCATTCTCCCAGCAACTCTCCTCCTGTCGGTGTCCCTGTCTCCGTTCTGCAGAGGAGACTGTTGAAACCCAGGGATCTTGGACTACTCACACTGTGAATAGGTGCCAGGCCACTTAGGGGCTTTGCCTATGCAGCTTTGTTCCATGGAAATAGGGGCTAACTGCGAGCAATTTGACTTCTTGTGCTTTGCATCTTTAAATGGATTTCTGACTTGAGTCGGACTTTGAAGCAGAGAGCTCTGTTTTCTTGTATGGATTTGATGTTTCTAGAAGTCCTACCACACCCTTTTGGGCAGCCAGTATAGATGGGATGTCAGTAATACAGTTCTTTCGTTTGCTTTTTCTTCTTTTTTTCTTCCTCTCTTTCTCCTCCTCCTCCTCCTTCTCTTTTTGAGGTACTGTTGATTGAACTCCAGGGCCTTTACCTTGAGCTGCATCACCACCCCTTATTTTTATTTTGAGACGGGGTCTGACTTAAGTCTTTTAAATTACACAGACTGAGCTCACACTTGCAGTTCTCCTGCTGCCTGGGGTTACAGGCGTGTGCCCCCACACCAAGCCTTTCAGAATCATTCTTAATGGCTGGCGGGCAGGGAGTGGGGCAGGAGCTCACTTCCACAGAGTCCACCAGAGTGGCCTCTCCAGGGTTAATGCCCCTGCCCAAAAGGGATAAAGCCCTTCTTTAAGGACAAGTGCTCGGCCAGTTGTGTGGCTGTCACTTTCTTCCTCTGGTAACATCACCTGTTGAGTTGTAATGTTGCAATGAAACCGCCGAGAAGCACCACATCTGGCCTCCCTGGGAGGAGCCCCCTGTGCTCAGGCAGCAGCGTATGGCCAGTCTGGCCTTGCTCCAGCCAGAGTCTGAAAAATCGCTTCTGTTCCCATCCACCAGCCTGCCTGGACTTGTGGCACTTGGTGCTTGGAATAGTACAACATGCCTCTCTTTTACAAACTGGGGATTTGGGATATATCTCAGCAGCATAAGCACCTGCCCAGCAAGAACAGGGTCTGAGCTTAATTCCCAGTATGAAAAAATAAAATAAAATAAAAATAAAAAATAAAAAATAAAAATTGGGAGCTGCTCCCTTCTAGTCACCATGCGACAGACATTATGATGTTTAGTAATGTCTGTAGCGTTTAGTGCATCCACAGGCTCAACCCCGGCCTCCACTGTCTGATCCCCAGATGTCTGTGTTGGCCCCCAAAGCAGCACTGACTGCTGCGTTATCTGTCACTCTCCATCCCCTCCCTCCCCAGACCAGGCAGCTGCTAGGCTAGTGTTGGTCTTATGGGGTTTGCCTATTCTGAAAGTCTCACAGAAGCAAATCATAGGGTACATGCCCTTTGGCGTCCATTTTCTTTCAGGTGGCAGTTTTCAAAGTTCATCTATGTTGTCACATATATAAGTACTGTATTCCTAAGCCTGAATGATTTTCCATTTTGTAACCTATAGTCCCAGCAATTGAGAGGTTGAGACAGGAGGATCACTGTGAGTTCAAGGCCAGCCTGGGCTACATAGCGAGTTCAAGATCAGTCTGAACCACATAGCAAGATCCTATCTCAAAAACCCAAATATTGATGCTATTCTATTGTAAAGATGCAGCCTATACCACTTTACCGACTCACTAGCTAATGGACATTTAGGTTTTTCCATTTGGGGCTCCTGTGAGTAATGCTGCCATGATCACTTTACATGCACGTTTTTGTTTCTATGCATTTTTAATTCTTGGGTGCATAGTGAGGAGTGAAATTGCTGGGTCATTTGCAATTCTGTGGTTAACTTCTTTGAGACCCTAAACTGTTTTCCACTGTGGCTACAGCATTTTATACTTCCACATGTGCTGCAGGAGGGTTCTAGTTCTCCCATAGTTTTGCCAACACTTGTTATCTTTTTATCATAGTCAAAAGTGAGCAGAAACAAGCCTCCTATTGTAGCTTTGACTTGTTTGCATTAGGGAATGGCAAGGCACTGAGCATTTGTTGCAGTTAGTAGTTTGGATGGAAAGCATTTGATATAGGGCACATAAGTTATAGGATTTTTTTTTTTAATATTCACCCAAAAAGTCAGATGCAAAAGAGTGAAAGAGATTTCTCCAAAAACCCAGCATGGTGGTTCACACCTGTAATCCCAGCACTTGGGAGGCTGAGGCAGGAGGATTGTTGTAAGTTCAAGACCAACCTGGGCTACAAAGTGAGTTCAAGACCAGTCCAAACTGCATAGGGACACCCTGTCTCAAAAAGATGAGACGGGGAGAGAGAGAGAGAGAGAGAGAGAGAGAGAGAGAGAGAGAGAGAGAGAGAGAGAAGTCCAGCCAGAGGACTGGAGCCTATGACAGTGCCTCATGCAAGTCTGTGTCAAGGATCTCACTGAGTCTTGGGTAAGAAGAACCAGCATAGTGAAAATGGCCATACCTCCAAAACTGTTACACAGATTCAGTGCTATACCAATCAAAATTCCAATTGCATATTTCACAGAATTAGAGAAAACAATCCTAAAATTTATCTGGAACCAGAAGAGACCCAGAATAGCAAGGGCAATCCTGAGCAACAAAGACGAGACACGTGGCATCACAATCCGTGACTTGAAATTATACTCTAAAGCTACTGTGACAAAAACAGCAAAAAAACCCAAAACCGAAAACAACAACAAAACAGACCAAAGATCAATGGGACAGATTAGAAGATGCAGAAATGACTTGCAGATACACTAAGCTACCTTATCTTTGACAAAGGTGCCAAACACATTCACTGGAAGAAAGCCAGCCTCGTTAGTAAATGACACTGGAAAAACTGGCTCTGCGCATACTGAAGATTAAAACTGGACTCATGTCTTTCACCAAGCACTAAACGAAAACAGGAATGGATCAAAATCTTAATATTAAAACAGAAACATTAAATCTGCTGGAAGATAGATTAGGTAAAACTCTTGACACTGGTGTAGGCAAAGACTTTATGAACAAAACCCTGATTGCACAGAAGCTATCACAGAGAATCAACAACAGGGATCTCACCTTATTGAAAAGCTTTTACACAGCAAGGAAACCACCAACAGAGTGAAGAGTCAACCCACAGAGTGAGAGAAAATGTCTGCCAGCTGTTCCTCAGACAAAGGATTACTGTTGAGAACATATAAAGAACTCAGTTCTCCCAGATTTAAAGACCCAATCCAAAAAATGGGCATCTGATATGAATACACAGTTCTCAGATGAAGAAATATGAACAGCAAATAAATACATGAAAAAAATGCTCAACACATCTGGTCATTCAAGAAATACAAATTAAAACAACACTGAGATTCCACCTCACCCCAGAAAGAATGGTTGTTGTCCAGAAATCAAGCAATAACATGCAGGGGGAAAAGGACCCCTTTTCCACTGTTGGTGGGAGTGTAGACTGGTGCAGCCACTGTGGGAATTAGTGTGGAAATCCCTCAAAAAAAATAGGATGGGAGGTCCCATTAGACCCAGCTCTTCCCAGATGAATTAAAAACATCATACCACGACATATGTGCACCCATGTTGACAACAGCACAGTTTGTAATACCTGGATCTTGGAAACAAGCTAAATGCTCATTGACTGAGGAATGGATAAAGAAGATGTGGTATTTCTATACAATGAAGTACTACTCAGCCATAAAGAAGAATAAGATGGAGACTTTTGTAGGTAAACGAATGAGACCATATTGATTAGTGATATAAATAAGACACACATGTGTAAACATAGGATCATCTCATTAGTGTGAGAAGCTGAAAGAGAGAATGTGTGTATATGTGTATGTATATGTATATAAAATAGTTAAGATATACTGCTGATTTCTCTGAGTTCAGAGAAGAGAAAGATTTGTGCTGGTGTTGTTCAGACAATTGTCTCGTGCTCTGGGTGACTTGGGGATGACAATGCACAGTGTGTGTACTATTCTTGTCCCCTGATTGATGTATTTTGAAATTTTGTATTAGTTTTTATTCCTTGAAATAAAATGGATTTGAAAAAAAATACCGTGAAAAAAAAAAAAAGATCTTGCACTAGGAAGGCCCACGGGGTAGCAGTAGAAGCCAAAAAGTCTGGGCCGGTGGATGAAGGGTCTGTGTCACAGACTGAGGGATCTGCATGGAGCCAGGTACCATGCTCAAGGTAAGGACCAGAGCTCCTGCGAAGAGAACCACAGCCATCCCTGGTGACAGTGAGGATCTAAGCGCTGGTGATGATGATAAGAGCCAGGGTCCTGTCAGGAAAGCTGGCTGCAGCACAGCTGGTCCTGGGAGGTTCCCAGCGCAGCCTGCGATCTTCCCTTCCCATTCTGCTTTTATGTCAGACACAAAACATGAAATCACCTTGCAGAAATTAGCTGTATTTCTGGGCTGGGGTGAAACTCAATGGTAGAATGCTTTCCTAGCATGTGCAAGATGCAGGGCTTGATCTCCAGCACCAGAGAAAATTACAAGTGATATTAACAAAAAATCCCATATATATAATATTGTTTATATTATATATTTATGTTTATATATTATAGTGTTTAGAAAGAAGAAAATAGTTGGGAGTAAATTAGCCAAAAAAGTACAGGATTGTATCTTAAAGTCTGGGCTGGGGATTTAGCTCAGTCACATAAGCACCTGCCTGGCAAATGCAGGTCGTAAGTTTGAGCCCTAGTATCCAAAAAACCAAACCAAAACAAAACAACAAAGACAAAAAAACCCCACTCACATTTACAGTATGTCAAAGACAATAAGACATTAAAAATTTAAATTGATGGACAGACATCCATGTTTGTGGAGTCCATTCTTGAGACTGACTCAGTCTCCAAATTAATGTACAGCTTTTTCCTGCCCAAGTCCCAGCCAACTGGGCCAGGCTGTCCCTCCGTGGCAGAGCACTTGCCTGGAAGGCATGAGGGCATCGGTTTGACTCCCAGGACCACAAAAGGAAGAAAATAAACCAATATAAAATCTCAGCTGGAGTCTTACCAGAAATCGAGGTGTGTGTTCTAAAATTCATGTGACAGGTCAAGGGGCCATACTAAATTAGTGCTAGTTTTCATCTGTGTATATGTTCTCTGTGGTTCTCCCTTTCTTCCTACCTTCGCTCCTTCCTTCCTGTCTTGGGCTGAGGGCTGAATCCAGGGCCTTCACACTGAGCTACATTCCTTGGCCTTCTTTTTTAAAAATTGTTTAGTTAGCTGGGGACATAGCTCAGTGGAATAAGCACCCGCCTGGCAAGTGTAAAGTCTTGAGTTCGACCCTCGGTTTTAAACAAATGGTTTATTTTGAGACTAGGTTTCACTAAGGGGCTACTTAGCTTGCAATCCTGTCTCAGCCTCCTGGATGAGAGACCTATGCCTCCACACCCAGCCTCTTTATTTTTCTCTGCATGTGAGATCATGTCACATGCAAGCACACACACGTGGTTTTAGTCCTGTTCCCAAGTGGATGCCCTCTTATGCTCTTCCCCCAGTGGCCTTGTTAGAACTTCCAGGACAAAGTTTCATAGACCTGAGCAGAGTGAATCCTTGCTGTGTCCTTGACCTTCTGGGCATTTGCCATTAAGTGAGACGTTAGCAGTGCTGTGTTGTGTTGTGTTTTGGTAGCTGTCATCTGTTAATATTTCCTTCTATTCCTAGATTGTTGATGTTTTTATAATCAGTGGGTGTCAGTCTTAAATGTTTTTACTACATGAAGTTAAATGATCATGTCTCCTTTAGTATGTCAGTATAATGCATTACATTGGCTTTTATCTGTCGAGCTGACCTTGCATGCCTAGGCTCATCCCACCTGGTCATGGTATTCCTCACTCTTGAAGTATTTGCTGAGGATTTTACATCTATTTTCACAAGAGATACTGATTCATAATGTTCTTTGGAGGGATGTTTGTTTGTTTGTTTGTTTTGAGACAGTGTCTCACTATGTAACCCAGGCTGGTGACCCTTCTGTTCTTTTTTTTTTAACTCAATATATCTGTGCAAATTTTGCTTTTTCTTTTCTTTCTTTTTTTTGCGGGGGGTGGGGATATCGGAATCGAAATCATGACCTCATGCTTGTCAGGCAGGTGCTTTACACCACTGAACTAAATCTCCAGCCCCAATTTTGCTTTTTCTTAAATCAGTTTCTAGGACTGTATTGATTTCATCCCGGTGTATAATATATTCGCAAACAACTTTTGATAGTTTTCCCTTAAAATTCATCATCCCATGTCTATAAGATTGGTGTCATGGTTACGTTTCTTCTTGCTGAGACAAAACACCCAACACCCAAAATTAAAGGAGGAAGGTTTATTTGGCTCACAGTTTGTAGAGGTTTCAGTGCAAATTGGTTGATGAGTCTGTTCCCCTTATATTGTATCCGGTCTCCCTGGGTCAGGCAGTGCCAATCTAATCAGTGGACTGAGCCAGCAGTCACCCACCCTGAACCCTAGCATTGCACTGTGAGTCGGTTACACGTGCTAGATTCAGCTACCTCTGAAAATGACCTTTGACCACAGGAGGTTTTGGGGGGACTTTTAGACACAGCCATAGCTTTGGTAATAATGTCCTTTCTTCCATTGCTGATTCTACTAATTTCAGTCTTCTGTTTCTTCTTTATTGATCTGGCTTATCAGTTTTGTTTATTTTAAAAAACCAATTTTTGTTTATGCTGATTTTTTTCTGTTTTCTATTTCATTTTTTTCTGCTCTGATCTTTATTCTTTCCTTCCTTTTTCTTCCTTCCTTTTTGCCCTGGGTTTAGTGTGCTGGGTTTTTTTTTCTTACTTTATTCAGGAGGAAGTTTATGCTCTCAGTGAGATTCTTTTTCATACTGCATTTTCATCTGTGCCTTTCCCTCTGAGCACTGCTCTAGCTGGACCCCAGGGTTGGTGTGTTGTATGTTTATTATCATTAATGTCAGAGTTTTTTCTTTTTCTTTCTTTTCTTTTCTTTTTTTCTTGTGGTCGTTTTGAGACAGGGTCTCACTATAAAGTCCAGGCTGGCCTTGAGCTCACTTTATAGCCCAGGCTGGTCTGAAATTCACAACATCCAGCAATGTCAGAGTATTTTCTAGTATTTCTTGTGATTCCTTCTTTGATTCATTTGGGTATGTGTGTGTGTGTTCAATGTCTACATATTTACAAATTTCCTAAATTAATTTTTCTTACTGATTTCTGATTCCATTGTACTTTGGTTGGAGAATATACCTTGTATGGTGTTCTTCCTTTTAAGTCTGAGATTTGAGCACAGGTATGGAGACACATGCTGATAATCCCAGTTCAGTACTCGGGAGGCTGAGGCAGAAGGGTCAGGAGCTCAAGGCTGATCTGGGCTACACTGCTATGTCAAGCAAAAGAATGTACCGAGATCACACGTGTTTCTGACACACAGGTCTATGCTGGGAAATGTGCTTTGTGCCATGGAGAAGAAAAGGCCTTCAGCTGTTTGTTGCAAAGTGTTCTCTGGATGGCTCTCAAGTCCACTTGGTTTACGCTGCTTCATCCCGTGTTTCCTCGCTGATCTGGTGCCCATTCATCCTCTTAACTTACTGTGCCTTTTGCCATTCTGAGTGGTTGTTGCTGTGCCTCGTGATGGTTCCTGGGGAGCTCTGTCTGGATGGTATTCTCAGAGCCACTCGGTGCTCTGCTAGTTCTGCTATGCATCCTGTATCTTCTTCCATCCCTCCCTTTCACTGTCAGCTGATTTGTGTCTTTAACCCTACAGTGAGTTTCTTGTCCACAGAGTACCGCTGGACATGTTTTTCAAAGTTCATTCTGCCCATTTCAGCTTTTTCATGGGAGAGTTTCCTCAGTGCACTTGGTGATGGGGTAAGGTGTATATTTCCCATTTTACCATTGGTTTTTTTCTTTTTTATTCTTCTCCTTTCCTCCATGGCTTCCTTCTCTGTGTTAGATATTTGCTAGTGTACTATTTCAGTTCCCTTCTTTTTACTGTGTGTTCTGAGTTGTATTTTTAGTGGTTTCCCTACAGGTCATCATTAATGTCTTAAATGACATGTGCTTCAGATTAATAATGTTCCCAGTCAGCCTGGGATTCTCTTGCTAGACTCAAATGGAAATTGCCACTGGGCCACATGCAGCTCTGCTAGCAGTCCTCATGTTGCCAACAGTGGACCCAGCCAGCTGCTGGCCATCCCCCCAATGCCAGCTTGTGTGGGCACTCTGCCAGGCACCAGTCTCCACCACAGGTCTCTGCTGGCTGCTGGTCTCCAGAGCGCTTTGGCGCTAATAGTTTGGAGTGGTGGTTTGCTCTTGTTCATGCCCACCAGAGAGAGAAATCACCAGCGCATTTAGAGCGGCCCAGGGTGCAAGGGGCAAGGAATCTTCCTGGAGAGCTTGCTGTGGTGGTGCAGGGTGCAAATGAGGGGCTCAGACCCCTCTATTACCCTACAAGGCTGCAGGCAGTCTGGGTAAGTCTGGGAGGGGAGGGGAGGGAGGAGGAAGAAGAAGGAAGAGAAGAGGAAGAGAGAGAATTTATTCCTTTTTTGGTATGAAAACCGAATATTAGGTACTTATTGAGCCAACATGGGAAAGCCCAGTAAAGCCCAGGCGCTGCAGCCGGCACAGCCCTGACAGTGACCCCCAGGCAACTGCGCCTCACGTGCCAGAGCCAGCGTGCGAGAGCAGGCCTCAAGTGCAAGTGTGTGATGGGACAATGTTTTGACTTGGCTGCTCCTCTCAGATTTGCCACAATTAGCCCAGTTTTTTTTTTTTAACTGAACTAGACCATGAGCTGTTTGCAATTTCTAAAGATGGAAGACAAGCACCTCAAATCTCGGAGGACACTAACCCCAGTCCTGCAGGCAAGGGCCTCCACCAGGGCCGCCACTCGGAGAAGTTTTGTCTTTTCGCTCCTTTTTTCTTCTGCCCACTGTTTCCCTGCCCTTCCCTGCCTCGTTCTCGTTCTCAAAGGAACAGGGCTCTCCGGGCTCTCAGGGTTACTCACAGGTAGTCACAGCAGGCGATGTTTAATCTGTTAGTTCACTGTCAAAAAAGGAATATATACTTTTCATGTTGTCTCATACATGTTGAAACTCTAGATGATTTTAATTCCATTGCCTTTTTCAGAATTCTCAACCATAACCCTCTGACAACTATCGAAGATCCATCTCTTTTTAAATTACCAGCTTTAAAATACCTGTAAGTACAGCCGTACTCTTACAAGCCATGCTCAGGCTTCTGCCCTTCTCAGTTCCTTCCATCAAAGGTTAAGTATTGAATCTAATGTTAATTTTAATCGGGTTATTGAAAAAAATAACTAGCAAAAGAAAGGTTAAAATGATGTATAGCTGGGCGTGGTGGTGCACACCTGTAATCCCAGCATTCAGGAGGCTGAGACAGGAGGATTTTCTCGAATTCAAGGACAGATAGGGAGACCCCATCTAAAAAAAAGACAGGAAGGAAGGACAGATGGATGGACGTGTAATGGGCAGGAGACTTGGGGGGTAGAAGCTATGCTGAGGGCTATGGGTCTGGGACAGGCACTCGGGTGTGAGGACGTTGCCCATCCGGGAAAGCAGAGTGCTATGACTAAAACCCAAGCGATTGGGAGCCGGGAGGGGATGCCCATATGGGAATGAGCAGCAGCCGGTTTAACACAGGTCCTGCTCTTCGATGGTAAGACCATTACTGGGAGGAGGCAGATGTTCAGTGTCTTCCTGAAGAGGCCGCTGGGATCTTCCTCTGGGATACATAAACTTTCGCACGGGGGGAGGCAAGACTGAAGCCCTGGCTCGGCCGGGGGGCACCTGCCGAAAGGCAGGGGTCCCCGTGACTCCATCAGGCTCTCTTCTCCTCCTTTAGAGACTTGGGAGCCACGCACGTGCGCCTGGTGGTCCTGGAGAATGTCCTCACTGTGACGCGGGAGCTGGAGATGCTGTAAGTCCTTCCCTAGATTGTTTCACTTCATTTTTATTTTGTCAGGTTTTACTGTCCTCTGTCTCTCACTGTCTGTGTGTCTGTGTCTGTGTCTCTATCTGTGTCTGTGTCTCTCTCCGACTTTCTGGCGGGCGTCCTGAACTCACTCTATAGCCCCAGGTGGCCTGGAATTTGCAGCGGTCCTCCTGCCTCAGCCTCCCGATTGCTGGGACTGCAGACGTGCTGCACCAGCCCTCCAGGCTTGGCTCACTGTTCTCCTAAATGGGGATTGCTGAGGTCTGGCAGCCATGTCATAAATCCCCAGTGTTCCCAGGCACAGTGGAATGAAGGAGCCCATGGTGTGACCCCAGTAGTGCTGTAAACCACGTGGGGTGGCCATGCAGAGCTCCCAGTGTTCCTTTGCCACCCATCTGCTCTTCCCATAAGCAGCCCTGCAAACTGCCAACCTTCACTTCCGACCCCAGAGTTCCCCCTTTGCTGGCGCAGTTTAGAAATGAAGCCACGGGGGCTAGGGATTTAGCTCAGCAGCATAAGCGCCTGCCTTGCAAGCGTGCAGTTGTGAGTTCGATCCCCGGTACTGATAAAAAAAAAATAGAAAAAGAAATGAAACCATGCAGTACTAGCCTCTTGTGACTCGCTTTTATTCACTTAGCACGAGTAAGGGTCCTGCAAGGTACAGTTTAGCCTGGGCTATGGAGTGAGGCTGAGGGGAACCTAAACTCTAGAGCAAGACGCTATCTGAAATGCTGAAGCAAAACGAAGTGTTCTTTGTGTACCCAGATACATGGCCCTTTTCACTGACTTGTGTTTAGAGAATGTTTTTTCTGATTGTGGCTTTTTTGTTCTGAGGAACAAGTTTACACAGGTGTGTCTTATTTATTTCACTTTTTAGTATGGTCTTCTCCATTTGCCTATAAAAGTCTCCAGTTTATTCTTCTTTATGGCTGAATAGTGTTCCACTGCATAAAAATACCACCTTTTTATCTATTCCTCAGTCGATGGGCATTGAGGTTGTTTCCAAGATTTGGCTATTGCTGGGGATTTAGCTCAGTGGTGTAAGTGCCTGCCTGGTAAGCACAAGGTCATGAGTTCAATCCCCAGTACTACAAAAAAAAAAAAAAAAAGCTAAAACCAAGATTTGGCTATTACAAACTGTGCTGCTATAAACATGGGTACACATACTTCACTGTGGTATGACGTTTTTAACTCGTTTGGGAAGACACACAAAAGGGAAATAGATGGGTTGAATGGGACCTCTAGTCCTAGTTTTTTGAGGCATCTCCACACTGATTTCCACAGTGGTTGCACCAGTCTGCACTCCCACCAACAGTACAGAAAGATTGCTTTTTCCCTACAGCCTTTCCAGCATTTGTTACTGGTTGATTTTTTTATGATAGCCATTCTTTCTGGGGTGAGGTGGAACCACAGTGTTATTTTAATTTGCATCTCTAGAATAACCAGTGCTGTTGAACATTTTTTCACATATTTACTTGCTGCTCATATTTCCTCATCTGAGAAGTGTATACTCATGTCAGATGCCCGTTTTTTTTTTTTTTTTTTTTTTTTTTTGTCTTTTTCATTTTTATTGGTACCGGGGATCGAACTCACGGCCGCCTGCTTGCAAGGCAGGTGCTTATGCCGCTGAGCTAAATCACCAGCTCCAGATGCCCGGTTTTTAACTGGGTCTTTAAATCTGGGAGAACTGATTGTTTTGAGGTTTTTTTTTTTAAAATTTTGGTACTGGGGATTGAACTCGTGACCTCACACTTGCCAGGCAGGCACTTATGCCAAATCCCCAGCCCTGTTTTGAGTTCTTTTTATGTTCTCAATAGTAATACTTTGTCTGAGGAGCAGCTGACAAACGTTTTCTCCCATGTTGTCTCTTCACTCTGTTGGTGGTTTCTCTCCTGTGCAAAAGCTTTTCAGTAAGATGAGGTCCCAGTTGTTGATTCTCTGTGATAATTCTTGTGCAGTCAGGATTTTGTTCATAAAGTCTTTGCCTACACCAGTGTCTTCAAGAGTTTTACCTACTGTCTTCCAGAAGATTTAATGCTTCTGTTTTAATATTAATATTTTTGGGACTAGGGATTTAGCTCAATGGCATAAGCACCTACCTGGCAAGCATGAGGTCATGAGTTTGATCCTTGGTGCTCCCCCCCCCCCAAATAGTAAGATCTTTGATCCATTCTGACTTTAGCTTAGTGAAAGATTTTAGCATGGTGAAAGATATGAGTCCAATTTTAATCTTTGGCATGTGTAGAGCCAGTTTTTCCAGCACCATTTATTACAGAGGTTATCTTTCCTCCAGTGAATGTGTGGCACCTTTGTCAAACATAAGATGACTTAGTATGTCTGGAGTTGTTTCTGCATCTTCTCATCTGTTTCATTGATCTTCGGGTCTGGTGGTATTTTTTTTTCTCCAGTACTGTACTGTTTTTATCACAGGAGCTTTATAGTATAATTTCAAGTCAGGGATTGTGAGGCCCCCTGCCTTGTCTTTGTTGCCCAGTATCCCCTTTGCTATTCTAGGTCTCTTCTGATACCGGATGAATTTTAGGATTGTTTTCTCTGAATTCTATGAGATATGCTATTGGAATTTTGATTGGGATTGCACTGAAAACTGTAACAGTTTTGAAAGCATGGCTATTTTCACTATATTGGTTGTTCCTACCCAAGAGCACAGCATATCTCTCCATTTTCTAATATCTTCTTCAGTCTCCTTTTTCAGAGTACTGTAGTTTTAGTATCTCTATTATAGTTTTTAATATCTGTTTTACATTCTTTGTTAGATTCATTTCTAGGTATTGCAATTTTTTGGATGCTATTGTGAAAGGTGCGGTTTCCTTTATTCTCTCTCAGTGAATTTATTATTCATGTACAGAAAGGCTATTGGTTTTTGAGTGTTGACTTTATAACCAGCTACGTTACCGAATTTTCTTATTAAATCTAGTAATCTTTTGGTGGAGTTTTTGGGGTCTTCTAAGTGGAGTATCTTGTCATCTGCAAATAATGATAGTTTAACTTCTTTCTTTCCTATTTTATTCCTCTTCTTTCTTTTGTCTACTTGCTCCAGGTAAAGTTTCCAGGACTATGTTGAATTAGAATGGAGACAGTGAACATTTTAGTTCTGTTTCTGGTTTTAGAAAAATAGTTTTCAGTTTTTGTCCATTTAGTATGATGGTGACTGTTGGTTTGTCGTAGATGGCTTTTATTGGATTGAGATAAAGACCATCTGTTCCAATTTTCTGTAGGATTTTTGTCATGAATCAGTGCTGGACTTTGTCAAAAGCTTTTTCTGCATCTATTGAGATGATCATATGATTTTTGTACTTGGCTGTTAATATGGTGTATTACATTTATGAATTTATATATGTTGAACCACCCCTGAATCCTTGGGATGATCACAGTGTATAATCTTCTTGACTATTTGCTGCAGTCTATTTGCCAGTATTTCACAGAGGATTTTTGCATCAATGTTCATTAGGGAAATTGGTCTGTAATGCCCTTTCTTAGTTGGTTTTTTTTTCTGGTTTTAGTATCAGGGTGATGCTTTCTTCCAGGAATAAATTTGGAAATATTGTTTCCCATTCAATTTCATTAAAGAGTTTGAGAAATAGCAGTGTGAGGTCTTCTCTAAATTTCTCATAGAATTCAGCAGTGAATCCGTCAGGGCCTGGGCTTTTCTTTGTTGATAGGTTTTAACTACGTCTTCGATTTTATTGGCTGATACTTTTTTTTAGGGTTTTTATATCTTCTTGACTCAGTTTTGGCAATTTGTATGTATCTAGAAATCTTTCCATTTCTTCTGCATTTTCCATCTTATTAGAACACAAGTTCTCAAAGTAGGTATAGATGATGGTCTGGATTTCTGCAGGGTCTGTTGGTGATTTCACCCTTTTCATTCCTAGTTGCATGGATTTGAGTCTTTTATTTTCTTTTTTAAAATAAGATTGGCTAAGGATTTGTAAATTTTATTTAATCTTTCAAAGAACCAACTCTATGATTCATTGATTCTTTGTATTTTTAGTCACAGTGTGTTAATTTCTGCTCTGATCTTTATAATTTCCTCCCTGGTATGACCTTTTGGCTTAGCCTGCTCTTCTTTTTCTAGATGTTTGCGGTTCACCATTAAGTTGTTTGTATGAGCTTGTTCTGTTTCCTGATATGGGTATTCCCACTGTAAATTTCCTTTGTCAGACTGCTTTGTGTCCCATGAGTTCTAGTACATTGTATCAGACTTATTGTTTAATTGTAGAAACACTCTCATTTTGTCTTTAATTTCATCTGTGACCCATTGGTTGTTCAGCAGAGTGTTATTTAATTTCCATGTGCTTATGAACTTCTCAGTTTCTTTTGCAACTGATTTCCAACTTCATTGCATTATGGTTTGATAATATGCATGGGATAATTTCAATTCCTTTGCATTTACTTAAGCTTGTTCCATGAGTTAATGTGTGGTCTATTTTGGAGAACATTCCATGTGCAGCTGAGAATGTGTATTCTGATGTTGTGGGTTGAAATACACTGCAGACATCTACAAGTCCATTTGTTCAAAAGTTTGGTTCAGTTCTAGTATTTCATTGATTTTTTTTGTCTAGTTGATCTATTTGTTACAGTGGGGGTTGTATTAATGCCTATTTGACTTTTTGTGTCTGTTAATATTTGTTTTGCATAATCGAGTGTACATATAGTTATGACTCTTATCTCTTCCTCTTGGGTTGTTCTTTTTTAAGGACATAGTGACCTTTTTTTTGTCTCTTATGCAGTTTGTGCTTGAAATCTGCTTTGTCTGCAAATAGAATAGCTACTCTGATTTTTTCTGGGTTCCTGTTGCATGAAGTATTGCTTTTCCATCCTTTGACTTTCAATCTATGAATTTATTTTTGAATTAGATATGTTTCTTCTATGCAGGATATTATTGGATCTTGCTTCTTGACCCATTCTGCCAGTCTGTGTCTCTTGACTGGTAAATTGAGACCATTAACATTGATAGTTATAATGGATACATATTGACTTCCCTTGTCATGTTATTTTGCTGCTGTTGGTTCCTTCTTTTTTCTCCTCCCTATAATTGTTTGTTTTCCCTGGTGGATTCCTGTCTGGGTTCTTATTATGAGCAGTGTTTCTGTAAGGCCTGTGGAGATGCTGTGTGTCCCATCAGCAGCCCACACACCCTCTTGTGAGGGAGGTGGAGTTCACTTGGCACTCAGTGGGCAGAAGATTGCACAGGACCCCTTCAGAAAGAGGCTCTGACCTGAGGCGGGCTTTGTGTCACCACATCTGCTGCTGACCCCTGAGGTGTTCACAGCTCCAGAGTCCAACCTGGTCTCCTCTTCAGCCTTGCCCAAATCACTTGGCGCCTCCCTCTGCAGCTAAAGCGCTGCCCACTGGCCTTCTCAGCCCTGAGGCCCTGAGGACAGGGCCTTGACCAGGGCTCCCTGGGAAGGACAGGCACCAGCCTGCTCTGTGGACATGTTCAGTCTCTGTGGTGAGAGTCTGAGGTGCGCACATTTATGATAAATAACTTAATGTCTTTATTAGCTCATCCTGAATACCTGTTTTGTTGGTTATGGCCTCTAACCAAGTCATGGACCATATTTTCTTACTTCTTTGATTACTGAGTAATTTCTTTTTCTTTTTGGAAGAGTTACATAGTTCACTGTGTAACCTAGGCTAGCCTCAAATTTACAGTGATCCTCCTGCCTCAACCTCCCTATTGCTGGGATTACCTCCCAATAAATTTATTAGACTCCAAAAGATAATTTTAATTTGTTGGGCATGACATATTTGTATCCTCTTAAAAACCCGCTTGTATATGTATATTTGCTTGTATTTGGGGCGATGTCACCCCAAGCCATTTGACTGAGCTGGGACCCATCATGGAGGATCTGTGAGGCGGTGCTGCCATAGCAGCCTTTAGTCTGAAGCTCCCTGTTCACGGAGGCTATAGCAGGACCTGAGTGTGAGGCCCATGTGTCCTACGGGGTCCAGGCTGGCAGCAGGACAGAGTGTCCCTGCCCCATGTGAAACTGAGGGTCCTCTGAGCCTCCCGGGTGTCTAAGACACTTGTCCTGTGAGTAGTCTGCTCTCCTCGTGGGTCAGTGCGAGTTAAGCATTTGGGGGAGCACATGGCACAGGGGACCCGTCCTTCCTCCCTCCTGACCCCAGCTGCCCGTGATGCTGAGCTTCTCACTTGGGAGGGAGCTGTCACCCAGAGTGCCTCACTCTATAGCGATTTTTCTCTTCGGTAAAGTAAGTTACTGAGGAATAACTTGTGGGTGAATAACCTGAGGTAAGTGAAGATCCCACCGCCCTGAGGCCTTTCTCTCCAGCTGCACATCCCATCTGCAGGAAGCCTTGCCTGAACCCATTATCACACCACTGACACTGAGTTGACAATTTCCAACTCTAGCGTTCCTTCTTCGCCTCTTAGCTGCTATCATTCTGTTAAAAAACGGCCACCCCTTTTCTTTTTGAGGCTCATTATGAATTCATGTGCTCTTCCTCGCCTTGTCCCCACTTTCCTTCCCTCCTCCTCCTCTTTGTAGTTCTGAGGTCCAAACCTAGACCCGGGAGGCGCCAGGCCAGCTCTGCCCCGAGCTGCACCCCAGCCCCCCTCACAGGCTCCAGTGCCATCTCTGTGGTTACTAAACACCACCCCGAGGGTAAACCAAGGCGTTTCCCGGCGCAGGGCGCGCCCTCCTGTTCCCCACTTCCCAAAGCAGTGGGTGCATGCCTCCCTCGCTGTGGGAGCCTCTCCACTGATTTGCTTCTCCGTGCTCTGGCCTCAGGATCTTACCAAGCCACATGGTCTGCTGCCTCTGCCAGTTTAAAAGCGACATCGAGGTCGTGTGCCAGACAGTGAAGCTGCACTGCAACGGCGCCTGCGTGTCCAACACCACGCAGTGCAGTGAGTGTCGGGGACCCGAGGCCCCGTTGTCGTTCTTCCTTGGTTTCCCATCTTTAACCTCGAAGTGGTGGTGATAGGTGTTTAAATAAGGATGTCCTTGCTGCAGCTGCCCGGCGCCCTCAGCGGTGCCCATGGCTTGCAAGTGCTGATGTGCAGCAGGCAGCTCCCTCGTGTCCAGATCTGAGAGCTCTATTGGTGTGTGTGGTTTCCTGGGAGAATAAGGGAGGCTCTTGCATGTGAAGCTGAGTTTCTGATCCCATAAGCAGAAACTGGCCCTGCTCCTGGAAGGGAAGAGGGCGCCCCATGGCTCACCGGCCCGCTCCACGCTGCTCGAAGCGTCCTCTTTCCACCCACGTGAGTCTGGGGGCTTCTGTGCATTCCACGTTTCCACTTCCTTCGTATCCATGTAATGGTGCCAGCGCGGATTGATTTCCCCTCAGATAGGACAGGACTCTGCTGGCTGGGACAGTAGAGAAACCGCGCTCGCTGCTTACAGAAAAGCAATGCTTGCCCTGGCTTTGGCGGCGCATGTCCCAGGGGGGATGAGTCTCCCCCATTCCGTTTTTTCTTCTTGCTAGAAGAGAGTAAAATAGGCTTCTCACCTCCTCACACAAAACAAGAGAACAGGACCAGAGGTGCCGGGCTCTCTGTCCCCACACCTGGGCTCCCCTCAGCCCACGCACCTCTGTTGTGAGAAAGAGATTCAGTCGCACGATGGCACCTTCCCTCCACGCAGTCAGACACATTGGCTGGTTCCCTCGGAGAGCGGCAGGGGTGGATGGAAAGGAAGCGGGCGGCTGAGAAGCAGCTGCTTCTGTTGGACTTTTTTTTTTTTTTTTTTGCTGCCGGGAATTGAATGCTGTGCCACTGAGCTGCACCCCAGTCCTCTTGTACAAAGTAATGTTTATCTGGAAATTGCCAGCCTTCTGTAGACTTACCCCACTTTAGTCTGCATAGGTACAAAACTGAGCAAATTAAAAATCTCTTAATCTGTACCCCAGATCTCTGCCAAAATGAAGAATGAATCAGGGCAGGGGCTGGGGATTTAGCTCAGCGGCATAAGTGCCTGCCTTGCAAGCAGGCAGTCATGAGTTTAATCCCCGGTACCGATAAAAAGGAAAAAGACAAAACAAACAAAAAGAATGAATCAGGGCAGACATAATACATCTTTCTGCGAGGAGCCTTTTGTTTTGGGGCTGTGATAGTTGGGGGCGGGGACCAAGGGAAGGACCTGTGAGCAAAAGGGACCTCTGCTTCCTCATGCGTGCCTTGCTATCCCTAAGAAGGCTGTCATCCATCGTGGTTATCTATGATGGCAGTGAGAACATGACACACGGGAGCAGGTGCCAAGGGGAGCCTTGCACTCCCTGTGTAGCTGGAGTGGACACTAGCGGCCCTGGGAAGTGAAGAGCCTACTGGCCCACTGCTCCCTGCCACACCCAGCGGCTGTCCTGAGAGTGGCCGGCCCTGTGGCCCCACAAGCCCTCCTGATGGGTCCTGCTGAAAGCAGTCTTTCCTCTCTCTGCTGCTGCTGGTTAAGTCTGGGTTTAGTTTTCTGCCTTCTAAGTGACCCCTATTTTAGGTGGCCGGAACATGTGGCCGTGGGTGGAAGTATCCCTGACCAAAACCCGTCTCTCCTTTTCCGGCAGTTGAAGCGGCAGCTATGGGGAACGTGGAAGGGCCGCTCATGAAGGCATTCCAGGCCCGGAAGAAGGCCACCAGTATCGAGCTGACCATCAAATCTGCAAGGTCACCTTCCCAGGAAGGCAGTGTCAGTTGGTCAGGCTTCGTGGACCAGCAGCTCGACTTCCATAACGGAAGTGATGTGATCAACGCGCTCAGTTACATCCTGCCGTTCTTCTCAAAGGGAGACCCTGGGGACCTGAAGGCCAGGCTCATGCCGCTCATTGAGCTGCTTTTCATGAATACACTAGAGCCAGACAATGATCAGGCTTCTTTAAAAAAGAATATAAGGAAGTCCTTTATGCCTGAGTCCAACAGTTCAGCTTACAAAAATAAATTACAATGGCTGTATTTCCTCCAAAATTGGTTGGATGCAGAAATTCAGAAAAAAATCAAACAGGTTAAGAAGGAAGAGGACAGTCTCACTCTTACGCAGCCCAGTCTTTTGGGCCCCAAATTGCAACCCCAAGTTTCTTCCAAAACATTGAAAAAGGCTCAAACACAGGGAGACAGCATGGCTGAGGATCAGCATGGAAGGAGAAGACTGTGGACAGGGGACAGGGTCCACAGGGGCCCGAAGGGCATCTTGAAAAGACTGCTCAAGGACATGGGGAAGCAGCAGGTCAGGGAGAGGCGGGCTGCCCGGCCCTTCATAGAAGCCTTGGGGTCCCCAGTGCCACGGACCTGGAGTAGCAGCACAGGGGCACCTAGGCCCAGGAACCTGGCCAGAAACCCCGTCCACACACAGGCACAGCGGGCAGCCGCCTCTACCTCCCTGCGAGCTCCCCCTCTGGGCAGGTCCCCCACTGCCACCCCTGCCAAAGCCCCACCAGTGGTGAGGAACAGGGGGGAAGACTTCACCCACAGCATGTGGGTCATAGAGCACGCGCAGGACAGGGTCCTGAGAATGAAGCAAACTGTACCTGCCTTGCGTCCACGGCAGGGTCACCACCGCCTGGCTAGAACTGTTTCCCCAGTGGCCTTTGGAACAGTCCAAGCCAAGCTGGGTGCTCAGCTCCCTAAAGGAAGCGTGCACCGTGGTCAGAGCCCTGCAAAGAGGCCCCATTTCCCGGCACTGAGGCGCCTCATTGACTCCCCTGCCCAACGCTTCCTGTCTGTGCTAGAAGGATCACGCACCTCTGCTGCAGCCTCTACTTCTGACACAGACTCACCACCCAGGGTCTCAGCCTCCCCCGTGCTGCAGTCCCTGGATGATGGCTTAGAAACTCAGCTGAACCAGCAGCTCCAGCTGATCATTCCTGATGAGGACCTGAGAGGGCTCATTTCCCACATCATCCACACTTGGAAAACAGACTGCACCAAGCCCCCAGTGACCCGGGCCTGTGCCCAGCTCTTCTCCAGGACACGCTACCTGCTGACACTGCTCAGCCAGCAACAGGAAGCCAAGGTGTTGCAGGCCCAGTGGGAGCTGGAGCAGCTGGATACGGCTGCCCCCGTCAGCCAGGGCACCGAGACCCAGGGCACCACGGCCCAGAGCACACCAAAGGGGCCACAGGAGCAAGTGATGGTGAGGCCCCCACGGGGGTCTGCATGCAGTGTCTGCCCCACAGCAGGGAGACCAGGCCTCCAGCCGCCGCCTTGTCCCAGCTGCATAGCTTTGGCCAAGATGATCCTGCTTCACTGCTGGGGAGAAGGAAAGAGCCAAGCCAGGGGACAGGACATAGCATCAGCTGCATACTAAGGGACGGGTGGTCCTACAGCTGTGCCGCTCCCCGAAGCAGGGCACACTGAGCAGTGAAAGATCATCCTCCCCACTTTGCTGTTTAACCAATATTGTCCTTTTTTTTCTTTTTTCAGTTCAAACAGCATGTTCCTGAATGCTCTTACATCTACATGTACATCATCCTGGCACTGGCAGCCCTGTCTGTGATCCTGATGGCTGTCATCGTCGCCATCTGTATCATGCAGGTAAGGACCATTGATTCACGTTTGCGGCCTGCGTCTGACCTGGTAACAGATTCGGAATGCACGAACTGAACGTCTGCGCCACTTCTGCCTCCTGCCCGGCGTCCCTGTGCAGCCACTAAGATCGAGTTGATCCCCGTTCTTTCACTGAAAAGTGTAGTAGCGAGGTTTTAAATGAGCTCCCGGGATCCCTGAGGAACAGAGGCCAAGCTGGCTCTCGGCTAACCCGTCCTGGGCAGGTAAGTGTGGCAGCCGGAGGGGACACGGCCATGTGCCTTCTCCAAGCTAAAACTGCATCTGCAGTCTGAGGACCTCTCCAGTCCCATGAGCATCCCCCTGCGAGTATCCATCTCTCTGGAGAGAAGGCATGGGCCTGTGCCCCGCCCCTGGTTCGAGGCGTAGGCTTCCAGGTTCAGTTAAACCTGGCTGCCGGCTCTACCTTATGCTGCTGGAAATTGGGGCCCGTGGACCGTAACTTGCTCTGGGGCCTTACCTCAGGTCAACTTTCGATTGCACAGTGGTTTAGCTCATTTCTCCACAGGCTGAGGCTAGACTATCACAAGAGCAATGTAATAAGCTGACAGGCTCTACCCTGCTGTTACAGTTCACCAGCAGGGTGACCAAGTAACCAAGCTTTCCACGTCCACGCAGCCCCTCGGGGCCCACTGCTGCCTGTGTCAACACCTCTATCCCCGAGACCTCCCCATCTCACCCACCTGTAGATCCCAAGAACCCTCAGAGCCCACTGCAGTTCTGCCTCCTGGGCCCTCTATCACATTCAACCTCATTTCCTGTGGCCACAGTGAAGCTCTGAGAACTGAAACCATGGTAGACCGTGGGGGAGAGGCGGCTCCCAGGAGAGACGCCAAGGTCAGCAGGTGAGGAGCAGGGCGTAGATACAGCCGGGCTAGTGGCTGCCTGCTTGCTGCAGAGCCCGGCTGAACATCTGCCACTCCTTCACGCACGTTGGAGCTGCTCTCACGTATTTCCCCTGCCAGAGTCGGCTCCGGTCCCTTCTGGTGAGTTTGAGCCTGGGCAGGCCAGGGCAACCACTATCCAAGGCCCTGCCCCAAAGAAAAACAACCTGCCTTGTGTGTAACTGAGGTTGCACTGAACATGCACACCACTTGCATGTGGGCTGTCATCTGTCCAGTGTTCTGGTGGCTGGCGTGTCTGGTTGGGCACTCGGGGCACACTCAGGTCCACGAGGACCTGCCTGTGTTCACCAAGTTTCCTTCGAGCTGTTGTCTGCTGCATCTCCAGTGCTGCTTGCCTGAGACCCCTCTCGCATTTTCCTGGTAGTGGGCAGAACACAGAAGGGCACTGGCCGTGGACAAGTGACCACCTCATTTCCTGCTGGGCTCCTTGCAGAGTGCGCGTCTCCACTGTGATGCCAACCGCAGATCGCCTGGGCTTCTGGGTGGTCTCACGTCGCTTACACAGACCGTGATGGTTTCGCTCATCCTCTCCAACCTCTGCCATCCTAGTTATTTCTCTGCCCTGGTTAGGACCTTGGAGAAGGATAAACAGTACCAGGAATGATAGGCATTGTACTCTCTTTCTTGATGTAGTCTTATTTTTTGTGTTATTTACTTAATTTTTGTGGTGCTGAGTATTGAACGCAGGGCCTTTGCAGTGAACTACCCTCTGTGCCCATTTTTGTATTCGAGTATTTAATTTTCTTTTCATTAAGTTGCTAAGTTGTTCAGACTGGTCTCAAACTTACATTCCTCTGGCCTGAGCAGCCTCCCAGAGTGCTAGAGTCACAGGCCTGGGTGAACTGTGGAGTGGAGGCACATACTTGTCACCCCAGCCCTCTTGGAGGCTGAGGAAGGATGGTGAGTCTGAGTCCATCCAGGCAACAACTTACCAAAGCTGTGTCCCAAAAGAAAAAAAATAAAACCTGGGCTGAGGATGTAGCTCTGGGTGAAGGCCCTGGGTTCTCCCCCAGTGCCACAGAGAAAACACTAAATATGAGCTGTGTGTGAGGCCCTCCTCTCGTGGGCTGTGGCAGAGGCAGAGAACAGGATGGGGTCCAGCCCCGGAGAGCAGGATGTGCCCCTGGAACGAGCCCCTGAGGAGGCAGCAGTCGCAGCGGGTGACACTCAGGATGGCGTTTTCTTCCCAGAGTTACCACCGAAAAGCCTTGGCGACAGAGCGAGAGTCCTGGAGGTAAAGGAGTCCAAAGGGGTCCAAGGGGTACAACCTAGGGTGGGGGTACCAGGGGAGGCCGAGTCTTCTGACCCTGGGCATTGACCTCACCGCAGTGATGCGAGCATGTAGCAGGAAAGGCCAGGGAGGCTTTGGGGGAGCAACCTGCCCAAGCGACAGCCCCCTCCCGAGTGCCAGGAGGAGCAGCTCGGATCCCGCGAGTGCCCTCCATCACTGCATACTTTGTGCTCGGGCTCTGTGGTCCTCAGCATGTGATACCAATGACAGCAGTGGGGACCTCACCTGCTCCTGTCCTGAAAGCCTCCTTTGACAGTGTGTTGTGTTAGTTTGTGTGTTTTCCTCTTTAGTAATGCAATTGAAGGCCTTAGCCCTGAGCTACATCTCTGGCTGCTGCTTTTTTGTTTTATAATTTGTTTCTTGTTTTGAGATACAGCCTTCCTAAGTTGCTAAACTGCCCAGGCTGGGCCTGAATTAGTGATCCTCCTGCCGCCTCAGCCCCCAAAGTGCTTGGATCACAGGTGTGCACCACCAGTCCGGTTCACAAATGACCTCTTGTGTTTTGGTGCTAGCTGTGTCCTTGAAACTGCTTCCCTGTCCCACCCTGAGTGACTGCACTCAGCATGAAAACCCTTGAGCTACACAGCTCCCCTAGGTGGCACTGGCCACAGGTTTCCTGGGACTTCCTGGTAGGATGAGGAGGCCAGGAAAAGAAATGCCCCTTCTCCCTCACCCCAGAGGCCACCATGGGACTCAGTGGAAGGAGGTGAGGGGAAAAGGTCAGGTGAGCGTGCTCTTCCCAGCAGCGTGTTCACTGCAGAAGGGTGCCTGGCTGAATAGGCAGAAGAGCAGCAGGGCCCAGCAGTTGCAGGACAGGGCCCTCCCCACAGGATAGGGCTGGCCCGAGGATGCAGGGTGGCTGGGCAGGACATGAATCCCCAGGAGAGGAGGACAGGAAGATGCCTGGACTTGGTGCTATCTTCTTCCAGGAAGCCCAGTGTGGAGGCGCCTCCTACAGAACCTGCCAGCGAGGACAAGGAAGCCGACACAGAAAGTGATGCAGAGAGTGACGACCTGATGGAGGTGCCCCTGAGGTAACCACCCTGCCCTGGGCGCCAGCAAATCTTTTTCCATTGCTAATAAAAGCAATTTTTCTGAAAGAAAAATGTAAACCACTCAGAAAACTCCCCGCCCATGGTGGCACGGACAGTGCAGGCAGTCCCATCTACCCATGTGCACGGAGCTAGGGGTGTGGAGAACATGGGCTGCCATGGCTGCCACTCATGGCCACCTGCTTCCTTTGGGGAGGTGGTGTGGGCTTCTCGACCGCGTGTCCCAGGAGAGTCACTTTGGGGACAGAGGCTCATCCTCTGCTCAGTGCTCAGTGCACTAAGCTCTGCTTCCTTCAGAACTGACAGAGCTGGGCACAGAGTCTCATGCCTGTTATGCCAGCACTCAGACACTGAGGCAGGCACATTGCTGAGATTTCCAGGCCTGTCTGAGGTACTAAGTGAGTTTGAATCCTGCCTGAATTGCATAGCAAAGTTCTGTCATAAGGAGACAAAGTACTTCCATGTCACTTCTGGTGGCCATGGCTTCTCTGGGACCTGTTCTGCTCCCACCTTGAAGTTTTTTTCAGGCAGTCCAGGATCCTGGCTTCTCCAAACTTCTGGCATGTCCACTCTACTTTCAGCTTTACACTCACATCTTCCCACACTGCCCTCTTATGGACACACGGGCTGGCCTCCCAGGCCATCTTCTGAAATGGGACTGGAAGCCCTCCTGATCCCACAACTCTTGCATTCTGCATGTGCCTAAAATCAGGGCCATGTACATGATGCCAAGATCTGCTGCCGGCTGCAGCAGTCACCAGGTTTCTGTCTCTCTTGCCTGTAGACGTTAAGTGCCTTGGGTGCTCTGAATCAAAATCTGAGAAACAAATTCTCAAAACTGCCACTTTCCTGGAACATAGCTTGCTGGGACTCTGTTCTCATAGCAAAGTCTTTCATTTTCATGTCATTTTGTTTTGTTTTTTTCAGTACTGGGAATCAAACTGTTGAAATTTTGAGGCTGCAAAAGGTGGAACCTTGCTGCTCCTTGTCATGCCCTCGGGTCATCTTTTAATTCTCTTGTCTCCCTAATCAGTAAAGATCTCCCCAGCTCTATCTATGCAAGCTTTGATGGAGCTTCCCTTCTGACCAAACTCAGAACATTTTAAATCATCCTGCTGGGATCTTTGCTCTTGATTCTCAACATAAATCTAGCAGAAAGCCCCCAGCAGTAACCCTGCCACACTTCAACATTAGACTGCCTTGAAATTTCTTGTGCCACCTTAACTAGTCTGCCACCCTGAATCTTAGGCAAAGTCTCTGGACATGATCAAAATGCACACAGACTTTCTCTGCCAAGCCATAACACACACACTCTGGAGTCCAGCACCCAATGCAGTCTTTCTTCCCAGGAGGAACCTTTGGAGACTGGTTGTTATCAGCAGGATTTTTGTCTCCTGAGCTCTGACCAGAATCTCCCATACAGAACAGCCTCAAGCATTCCAACTCTACTTTTCAGCTGGCATCTCTGAATCATTCCAAACTTTTCCCACAAGCCATTCCCAAAGGCCCCTGCACCACGTGGGCTGGTACAGTCACAGCAATGACCCCGCCTCTCTAGTACCACCTCTCTAGTGTATCTTACGTACAGTTCTCTTGTTGCTGAGACAAAACACCAGACACCCAAAGTTAAAGACGAAAAGGTTGATTCATTTGCTCACAGTTGTAGAGGTTTCACCCCATAATCAGTTGGCTCCGAAGCAGAGTGGTACATGACAAAGGAGCAACCCTTCATGGCAGCAGAAAACAGCAAACGCAGTGATGGAAGAGAGAGACAGAGACAGAGAGACAGAGAGAGAGAGAGAGGGAGACAGCCCTTGTTATTTTTTTAATTTGAGACAAGGTCTTGCTACATAAGTTGCCCCCGTGAGGCTAGAGCTTGTGATCCTCTTGTCTCAGCCTCCCAGACTGCTGGGCCTACAGGAATGGGCTTGCGTGGTATTTTGTATTTCAGTCATATTTTATTAGTCCATTTTAGATATGCATAATCACATTCATCATAGAGAATTTCTACCTGTACATGATACAACTTCCCCCCCATTCTCCTACCCTCCCCACTTACAAAGCTTTGCTTCCCTTTCTTCGTTTCTCATTTTCTTCACTTTTCCTTTCTTTGCTTTCCTCTCCCATACTTTGTTCTCCCCATGTGAACATTTTCTTCCCGTTTCACAATACCTACTATAAGTTTTGGTCCTTATTTACACTCTTGGGTTCTCATACCAGAAGTACAATGTGATATTTACAATGTGTGTCTGATTTATGTCACTTAAGAGTATAGTCTCAACTTGCATCCCTTTATCTAGAAATATCTCAGACTTGTTCTTCTTCATGCATAGAAGTACTCCATTGTATTAAAACACCTTCACATCTTCTTTATCCATTCACCACTTGATGGGCATTTGGGCTGTTTACAAGCTGTTTTAAACTGTGTTGCTGTAAACATGGCTGTGGAATATATTGCTATTGTCTGCTGTTTTTTTTTATACCAGAAATTGAACTCGGCCCTTGGACTTGCCAGGAAGTCACAAATGCCACTGAGCTTTATCCCCAGCCTGGAATGCTGCTTTAAAGGAGGGACAGAGCTGGGTGACATGGATCCTGTTCTCCTAGGTTTTGAGGAATTTCCACAGTGATTTACACAGTGGTTGTACCAGTGTATGCTCCCACCTACAGTGGAAAACGTTGCTTTTCCCCATAGCCTTGCTGGAACTTGTTATTGGTTGATTCCTTTTTTTTGTCTTTTTGAGACATGGTTTTTCTCTGCAATTCAGCCTGGCCTTGAGCTCACTTTGTAGCCCAGGCTGGTCTTCAACTTACAACCATCCTCATGCCTCAGCCTCCCAAGTGCTGAGTTACAGGCGTGAGCCACCAACCCCGCTTGGTTGATTTCTTTTTTTTTTTTTTTATTTAAGAGGAAAAAGAGAAAAACACAAAAGAAAACAAAGCGGTGTAAGGGTACACGTAATACAGAACTACAAAAAAAAAAAAAAACATAACAGTAAGAAATCACCTGTTAGTAGATTACATATTATCATCTTGAAAATAGTTGCTCAAATCACAGTATCAAAGAATACAAGGTGGACATTCAAACAGGGAGACTGCAAACAGCTGTGTTCAATGATCCAAAAACATTGATATAGTCAGCTATTTAACACCCCTAAACACACTTGCTGTTATATCCGTTAGAGCTCTTTTTCTTTTTTTCCCTCTCTTTTTTACAACAAAATTTACACATTTTGGATTTTATTACTCCTTAGTGCTTATTACTATTTTTTGGGGGGAGAGAATACAGTCAAATATGGCAAAACAAAGCTGTCAGTCAAAACCAAGGATAGACATAGCACATGGTGTAGAACAGAGTACAAGGTTATCAACAATGGTTATCAACATTGTCTCTTGTTTCCTTAAAAAGAATTGTCTATCTCATTAGATATTATAAAGTTGGACAAAACAGTAGAGAACAAGACCAATAAAACTTAGGCATTGTAAACATTACAGGACTTCCAAAGAAGACAATAGTCGAACCAGAATGGGTATCTTAGTGAATCTTACTGCCTTCAAAGTAGTTGCCTATGTCTTCAAACTTGATACTATCATATAGAATGGAACAGAGTCTAATCAGTCAAAACAAGATCGTGGGAGTATTACAGGACTTCAAAACAAGTTAATAGGAAATCAAAAAGAGTTACTATTTATATATCCTAATTTTTTAAATTTTTTCTTTAAGACAAACATAAGAAATGACTAAATTTTTTTAAAAGAATAAGGGGGAGATTGAGATAAAACAGGACATAACAATATAACGATAGAGGTCAAAGCATGACTGTTTCAGCAACCTAGTACTTCACCACCATATAACCCGACTTAATAGTAGTTACCATAGTGTCTGTCTTTTTCCTTGAAATATTTGGATAAAACTTCATATACTCTAGCTTCAAATATTTCCATATCAAGAATCCCAGAATAAAGCCTTTCTAATTAATGAGTGAAAACTTTATAAGGCTTCAAGGCCACCTAATGGGGAATCATGATTACCACATATTTTTATATATTTGAATCATTACTTACATTAGGGAAACTATTCGGTATTCACACATGTGAGAGTGATTTATTTCACTTATGAGTATGGTCTCAAGCTGCGCCCATTTATTGATAAATATCTCAATGTGATCCTTCTTTATAGCTGAATAATACTCCATTGTATAGAAATACCACAACTTTTTTATCCATTCCTCAGTTGATGGACACTTGGGTTGTTTCCAAGATCTGGCGATTACAAATTGTGCTGCTAACTGATGTTCCCCTATTCTGTTTTGCTGGATAGTATCAGGTTCGAAAATTTAGGCATCAGCTGTGAAGATAATGAGATTCATTATAACGCCCATTCTCGTTGACTTTTATCTACTTTTGAAGACCTACAATGTCTCCAATGGTTTGGCTTTGTCGGTTTTGTTCTTTACTGTTTTGTTCAATTGTATTATAACTAATGGTATAGGCAATTCTATTAGAGATAGTGGGAGGCATTATGGTAACCATTGTTGATCACCTTGTATTATGTTTTCACATTATCTATTATGTCCACCCTTTTGACTTGACCGATTCTGTTCTGTTATGTCACATTTGGTTTTACTCTCTTCCAAAAAAGTAATAAGAACCGTGAGAGCAATGAAACCCAAAATGTGTAATAGTCATTGTACAAAAGAGAGGAAAAGAAAGTGCTCTAAACTATATAACTGCATGTATATTTAAGTGTATAAGATAGAATATGATATCACAGAGATTTATTGGATCATTGAACAGAACTGTTTGCAGTATCATTGATGGAATGTCCACTTTACAAGCTTTAATTTTGTGACTTGAACAATTATTTCTAAGATGACAGTATATAATCCATTAACTAGTGATTTCCTACTGTTCATTTTTTTTCTGCAAATCTGTATAACTTGTACCCTTTCTCTGCTTTTTTTTTTCTTTTTTCCTTAAAT